TTAGGTTGAATTCGTGCTCCAAAAAGATATGAGTTTTGGTATCTAGCTCGGAGGGAAACTATTTTGAAATTTTAGGTGACTTCGTGAAGAATTAATAAAGTTTGAAATTTGAGAATTGTTAATGTTCTTTATGTATTCTTGGTGTATTTAAAAGAAGAAGCAAAAAGAGTACAATTGATCCAAAAACTCCAATTGAAAAGTGTTAAAAGTTGTTTCAGATGTAAAAAATGGTTTTGCAAAATCGAAGTTAAAAAAAATGGCATGGATGAACCTTTTCTTTAACAACAATGGCATAGATGAACCAAACTTTTAACGGATGACATAAATGAAACTTTTCTGAAAATTCGATGACATATTCTGTAAATGTAGAAAAACTTTCAAAATTGCTCAGTATCACCCAAGAATGTTTTTTAGAGAGGGACAACCTAGGACAAATTTCAACAATTTTTTCCATAAAAAATCTTCGTAAAAATGAGCAACATGATCCCCTATTTTTGTAGTTCAATTTCTAGGCATAAGAAAATATAATTGTGGCCCTAGGGTTTGACTTGAATTCGTTTAAGAGAATGAAAATTCATAATTATGAGAATTTTAAGGTGTAAGAGTTTGGGCTAATGTGAAAAATGTTTGTTCTCAATTTATTACCGCAATTTATTATTGTAATAATGGTAATTTTGGTGAATTATTGGTGGGAAAGCCCTGGATTGGGTGAAAAAAATAAGAGGTTGGTCTAGGGTTTGAGTTGTGGATATAATCCGAGAATATATAGGTCTTTTGTGATGTGTTTTGTACTTGTATTATTATTTTTAGATCGAGAACAAGCTAAAGCTTCACAAATGATCAAAGGTTCGTGATCAAATTTTTGTAGCAACTACTTGCTATATTTTCTTAACTCTGTATTTAGACTTGTTTTCAATTACATGATATTTTGTAGATTGATGAGAGGTTTCAAGTCTAGTTCTTTCAGGTACGGAGTCTGAAGGGTTAAAAATTGTTGCTTATTGTTGTTAATGCGGAAAAAGATAATGACTAGGGGATGATTCTCTAATTCTTGATTGTTAACCTTGAGTTTTCTTGATTGTGATTTGCGGTTAAGGCGAGAAAAGATATTCTGTTGACTTTTACAGCAACAACTTTTTCAAAGCTTACTTTTACCAGAACAAACATATTTGTTTCTAATTGATTGAGTTTTTTTTCACTTTAATAGGGATTTGACATTAATGGTTATCTCGATTCGTATCCAGTGACTGCCATATTACTAATTACTTAGAAGCTCCTGCTCATGTTGAAATGTTGAAGGGTTATGCTGCAAAGGCACTTGAGCATGAATTAACACTTCGGTTCTTTTAGCTTTGTGTTTAACTTGGTGATACAATTTCAGATCTAAAGACAATGATTTCTTAATCATTCAGATGTGCATTTACATTCAAATTTCTTAATCTTAATGAAAACAAATTAGGCCTTAAACTCGTATAAAATTGAACTATTAGACACATTCATCTTACATGGCATCATACATGATAATTTTGTGTCCTATTTGGCGTTGTCCTACATATACTATGTCACGTAGGACCTGTATGCCTACTTGTTCAATTTTATATTAGTTTAAGTGTCTATTTGTGTAGATTCAAAGTAAAAGGGCATAGATGTCAAGTGAAACTAAGTTAAATGACATATTTATGTATTATGCCTATTTTTAATATTGATACACACACATTATGACATATAAAATTAAAGTTAAAACTATACTTATTTATTTGTAAAATCATTTCAACATCTGAAATATATTTTTCAATGATTAGAAAGTCACAAATTCAAACAATAAAAAACACGACTTTTGAAAAAAAATACAGGACCATGAGTGTAGACGCAAGTGCACTTGTACATACATGATTAAATATGTACTTGCTACTAGTAGTAGCAAATAAACTGATTCCATTTTCATTGCAGAATCCTATGCTTTATATATTTCAAATAAACGATAGGTCATAGCAAGTAATTAGGGGCGGAACTAGCTAGAGTGGACCTCTACGAATTCAGTCGAACTCAATTGCTTTATTAGTTTCAAATTTTAAGAAAATATGGGCCCAAGCTATTGCTCTCGTTGCATTATAGTTAAGCCACCTTTGATGGTGTGTATGCAATCTTATCCCTATCTTGTGAATGTATTTTTAATCCTTCGGCTAAAATAATAAAGTATATCCAAATCAAGTATGGAAAAAAACACAGTAATAATCAAAAAGTCATGTTAAAAATAAAAGAGAAGAGATTTCCCATCCGGCCTAGTAACCATTCGGAATGGGAGATCGATTCCCATTTGGAATAACCATAATAATAATCGAGTATACTACTAAATACTAATAGCCATGAAAGAATTAATTAACAAATTTTCACTTTGTTCGTACTGAATACAATTAATTTCCCATCGCTTGCCCAACATTCTAATAGAGAAATTGATGAGCCTAAACAAAACTTAATCTCATATATATTCTCCGTCCAAAAATAAATATCATTTTAGTTAAATTAATTTAATCCAAACTAAATTTCGTTTCAGAAAATCAAGAAGACATTATGTTTTTGTTCAAGTCTACGATCCTAAATATAAAATATATACAAAGGGTAATTTGAGAAGATATATATAAAGTACCTTAGTCAAATGAACCTCATAATTAATGCTGCATTCACATAGTTTCTTATTAAGTAGGTCAAAATCTAAATGACACTTATTTGGGATACGAGGGGACGATTTATAAACAAGGTAAAAAAAAATTAGATTAATATGGATTGTGGTGGAATGATTGCGATCTCTCCACTCTTAATCAAAGATATTAAGTTGGACACTTTGAGAATGATTCTTTTTATTGAGAGTGTCGTCCAAAAAAAATAAATCCCGCAATATGTGAATTCAAATTTAATTGTATCTCAGTATGAATATCAAAGATCAAAAGATCAAATGAAAAACAAAAACAAAAACAAAAACAATTTTATTTGATTGATCCGTTTAACTTAAAACTCTTCATTTTCTTTAATGACAAGTTTTTATAATGATACAAAATGTTATAGTTTTACGATCAAAAGTTTTAAGACCATAATTTAATAGTTCTTATTTTTTCTTAAATTTCGTACATAGTCAAATTTTACCACATAAATTGAAACGAGAGAAGTATATTTGTGTTTCAAATTATTGAACGGTCTCTTAGGAAAAAAATTATGCAATGAGAGGTTGTACTAGTAATTGTAACTCATGGTGAGCAAATTAATACACTGATAAAGTTAACAAAGTACGTTACTAAAATATTTAAATCGTAATAATGACTCATAAACACAATTGAAAGATACATTATAATTATTAATATTATAATGAATGAATATCTTGTCGTTTTGAGAATATTTTCGAGCAACATTCTTATTTTGGCTTACTTAATGCATCAATTTTCGAAGGCCTAATCATGAGAAATAGAGGTAGGTCAAAAAAGTATTAAGAAAAAATGATTCGATAGGATATACACGTATTTCTATTGTAACATATCGAAGAGACATGAATCTAGATAGAAGATTATGGATGTCGATAATTGGGATAAGATATACACGTACTCCTGTTGTTTTTATACTTTAATTTCTAATTATCTTACTCTTCAATTTTAGTATTACTCATCGTGTTTTTTGTTTTGGTTATTATATTATTTGCTATTGTTATTACTCTTTTCCTCATTATTTTCATACCTAAGTTGTTATATTTTACTTAATCGGCTCAAGTAGAAACAACTTCCCTACCTTGTAACGTTACATACATTCTACCCTCCCACATTCCAATTATGAAATTATAATGAGAATGTAATCCATTAGCATGTGTCTTTCGAAACTTAATTATGATTTTAAATATTTCATGTAAAATATCAAAATTAAATTATTATTTAATATAAATTTTCTATATTTTTTTAAAAAAGGAGGTCTAATAGCTATTGGTCCCTTAGCAAAATCACGTGCCTACTTTGCATCAAAGTGCGTAGCAAATCAGAAAACCAAACGAAAGCTATTCATCAACCCTCTATCTACAAAATAAAAATAAAATAAAATATTTGTACAATATTTTAGTCTGTTTCGAAAGAATGGTTTTTTTTTTATGGATTTTTAACTTTTAACTTTTCACGTGATATGTTTAAGATAACAAGAGTAAAATATATTTTAGTATGTTTGATATATTTTTAATTTAAGATCATATGATTCAAAAAACAATATTCAGTATACTTCCAGTCAAATTAAAACTGGACAAACAAATTGAATGGAAGTAATAAAAAGAAAAATGAAAAAAAATAAAAGAAATAACTATCCCTTCACTTTTACTTGTCACAATTCTCTTTACAAGAGTTAATTTTGACTAATTTTTAAAGCTAAATTAAATTAGATTAATTCAATATTTAAAAGTTATATAGATATTTGAAAACTATATATACACAAAATACTATAATTAAGTTGTATTCTTTTTAAATATTAATATAATAAAACAATACATTTATCACAACTTATAAAGTTTGACATTTAAAAAGCAAATACGTGAAAAATAAAAATGAGATAAAAGAAATTAATACTATATTACAAAGTCATATTCATGACCAAAACAACAAATACTATTATGATCCTTCACCCAAAAACAATTAAAAAGAAGAATTTTATGAGAGTTTGTATGCATTGGATCCTTCACCCAAAATTATTTTATAAACCTTAATATAAAACGTAATAATTATTTTCCTTCTTTATTCCTCCTTTTTTTCTTTCTTTCCCTTTCCTCTTCAAACTAGTGAAACTATACACAAATTACCATCAATTAGAACTAAAAGAGCTATAGCTAGCTAGGTCCAAAAATATTTGGTAACTTTTATTTGATAAAAAAAAACTCTTCTTCTTCTCCTAATTCTAATGTAACTACTGCACCTATTCCTATTCCTATTCTCCTCTTTATAATACATCAGCAAAAAAACCCTATTTTTAACCCCCAAGACCCTTTCTTGTTCACGATTGGATATGTCAAATTTTGATGAGAGCAATTCTAGTGAAAACCAACAACTACCCACTTTTAAAGATCCAAAAGGGTGTATAGATATTACAACAGATGATAATACCAAGAAAATTGTAATATTGCATCAAGATCCAAAAGGGTGTCAAGATATTATAATGGATGAACAAAAAGATGACGATGCCAACAAAAAAGAAATATTGCACCAAAATAATCCAAAAGAGTGTCAAGATATTACTATAGGAATCAAGAAAATAATGGTATTGCAAGAAGATCCAAAAGGGTGTCAAGATATTACAATGAACACTAACAACATAGTAATATTGCATCAAGTTTCTAATCAAAATCATCGTCAAGAAGATGGTGTTGTCAACGAGACAATAGTTATACAACGCGTTGAAGATGAATTGGTACTAGAAGATGGTGGTGTTAACGAGACAATAGTTATACAACACGTTGAAGACGAATTGCTACCAGAAGATGGTGTAGTTATACAACACGTTGAAGACGAATTGATACTAGAAGATATACAACACGTTGAAGATGATGTTGTCAACAATCTAGTACTACTAGAAGATGATAATGATGGATTTAGGACTCCAACTTCTTTGGAATCGAAAATTCCAATTTTGACAACATGTCCTGATGCACCAAGACGCAACTATAGTGGTATTAAACGAAAAGCTTCATCACCACCAAGAAGAGGGGAAAGAAATATAAGAATATGGAACGATTATCGTCATCGCAATACCGCTAGATTTTGACCGGAAAATCAAGAAATTAATCAACAACACCATACCAACAAGAGAATTATTACATAATAGATTTTTGTAAAAAATTAATCTTTAGTTAACCTATTTTATTTTAATATGTCGTTTGTTAGAACCATATATTAGTCAATGTGGTATATCTTTTATTTTTTAATTGTTGGATAGAGAAGAAATTAAACATATTCTTTTTCCATCTGTTCCATTTTATATGATTTAAACTATTATTTTAAGAGTTAGTTTTTTCTATGACAAGTTTATATGTCTTTTAAATATTTTAAATTGTTAATAATATAGTGTGATAGAAAATTAGATAATTCGAGCATCATAACGTGATGGAAGGAGATATTAATAGAGTTTGATTCTATTTTGTTTTTTCAGTTTGGATGTTTTCATGTTTTTTCTTGTGATTTTAACTTTTTTTGCTTAGATTAAAGTTAGAAAAAGAGATGTGTGAGGGTGGGGTGGGGGTGGGGGGGTGAAGTAAAGACCAAGAAACTATAAAGAGGTAGGCATAAACATACAACTTTATTGTATTGTCACCTATCTTCTTTTGTAATCAAGGTGTTATGTAGTTTATAAAAAGTAAAGTAAAGAAAAGATTCCCAAAATATAACGACTCTTTCTCCTTTACACTTTTTATTTTTTTCTCAAAAAGGTTTTCCTATAGAAGTAAGTAGAGGTGTAAAAAAAGAGAGATTAAAATCGATCAAATCGAATTAATTAAAAAATAACTATTACTACTATATATCAAAAGTTCTTTATTACCGGTCATTTCTTAATCTAAAAGGAAGAGAATTGGAACTTACACTGACTAATAAGTAATCTTAAGATTGCACACATTTTATCCTTTTTATATCTCACTCGTAAGACTATACTAAATATATTGTTGTTATAAATTTTAATCATACTGATAAATTAGATGTTCGAATGATATATATTTATGTAAGTTAACTTTTCTATTACATTTTTGTTTTCAGGTGGAAACAATCTTTTTAATTATTGACAGTTAGAGGTGTTCAAGATTTGATTTGCCCGATTTTTTGTTAAAATCAAATTCATATAATTAGTTTTATTTATTAAAAATTAATCAAATATATAATAAGGAATATTCAATATTCTTCCAACTTATAATCAGTCATTATGATGGGCGATGGCTATAGCTTTTTTAGTTTATGAAGAAAATGTCTAAGATTTACAAACTAAGTAATTAACTTTATAAAGCGTAAATTTCAATAGCCTAGTAAACATAAATAAAATTTTGATAAAAAGATCTAAAGTATTTATGTTTTTTTCACAAAAATTAATTGACGTATTATATATATAGTTATAAAAAAAATTGTGTATAAAGTTGATCGATTTGAATATAGTTATAAAAAATTGTGTATAAGGTTGATCGATTTGATATGATTTTATCTCCTATTTATTTTTAATCAAATCAAATCAAATCAAATATTAATAAATTCATTCTATGTAACAATCGACGAATAGAACATCACCACATATAGTTTAGCTATAATCATAAACTTTATAATACATGCAAATAATTCGTGGTACAAATTGTGGTTTCAAACACTTGGACAACTATATTATGCTAATAATACAATTAATTATTGCCTACATAACTACCAACAAGTTTGTTGCCAGAATTATAGTACTAAAAAAAATTCCAAAAGATTAGAAAAAAAAAAACTTTTTTAATGCACGACCTTCCAATTCTTCATATCCTAGGCATATCATAAAATAAAATAATAAAATGATTTATGATTGGGTAGGAATAAAGAGAATGTCAGAAATTTAAACACAAAAAAATCAACAAATGCAAAGACATGATAACCTAAATGCCAACGTGAGGAGATGTAATCCTCCCTCCTTTTCAATTTGATTATCTGGATTTTAACTTGACACAAAGTTTAAAAAGTAAAGAAATTTTTTTAAATTTTGTTGTCTTAAATTAAAGATACATAGTATATATTAAATGCTCTTTAATCTTGTGATTTTAGATATGTCACGTGATAAATTTACATTAAATGGTTATTAAAACAACATTGTGATACCCAGTGAAATCTCCTTAGTGGAGTTTGGAGATAGTTGAGCGTACGCAGACCGTACAGTAATAAACCACAAAAATGCAATAACCTAAACACAACCAACAAGAAGTGATGGTGGAATAAAACAATAATATAATTTTTTTTGCAAACAGACTAAAACGGAAAGTAAGACATATCGTTACGGAAATGTACATTTCATTAACCGTTTTATTTTCCCTCTTTCACAAAGAGTCTTTCTTACCTTATTTTTCTCTCTTCCACTTCTCTGTTTTTTTCCCTCTTTCCTCCCCTTAGAGAAACAAACAAACAAACAACACAAAAACACAAGTTTCTTTGATCATATTTGATTGATTATATTCATCTTTTTACTATCAATGTGCTACGATGGATCATCGGAGAACGTTAACGATGAACTGGGATGGTCTTGGAGACGATCAAGATGACGATGACAACTTCTTTGAGTCTCGTGATCGTCTCTCCACAGCCATCCCCCTTGACTTAGGATCCTCAGGATCAGATGATGATAATGAATACGAAGACAGTCGTCTCTCCTTTGTTTCGACTCTTTCCTCAGCCTCCATCAAGAAATTCCAAGGAATTGAAATTGAAACAGTTTCTGATTCATTTAGCAGTGCGGACTATGGAATGTGGATGGCTGAACCAGGGGATATTAAGGAACGTCGTAAACGCCTCTTACAAGGTATGGGATTGTCAAGCAATAAGGACCTCCTCAAGTTGAAAAGTGCCAAGATTGTAAGGGCTATTTCAAGAAAGGTTGAGAAAATCAAGGACACGAAAACATCTAAGATGAATGATTCTTCGCGTGTAAAAGGATTAAATCAAGAACGTGAGCCTGTAACTATACAACCGATTAAGTTGGTAAGGTCGAGATCAGATGGAGATATACAATACTTTTCTGTAAATACAAAGAAAAGGAAAGAGGATTTAATTGGTGACATTTCTAAACAACGTCTCACAAGGACATTTTCGGGTGTTTTAGCACCGAGTATAGGTACATGTCAATTAACAGGTTCTGTTAGAATGTCGCCAACAAAAACCAGAAGTAGATCGTTGATGCAAAATGGGAGTGATTTGTTATCAAATGGGAATCCTGATGTGGGATTTGCTTCTTTTTTCTTGATAAAGAATTTGGACACCGGAAAGGAGTTTATAGTCAAAGAGAGTAATGAAAACGGAATGTGGAATAAGCTGAGTGATATTCAGACAGGGAAACAACTTACGATGGATGAATTTGAAAAACATGTGGGATATTCTCCTGTTGTGAAGGAGCTGATGAGACGAGTAAATGGATCAAGAAGTCACGATGATGAGAGGAAGCTAAACGCGAATTCATATCTTAGTAAGAGTTTTAGGAATAGTAAGAGAAGGGGAGTTGCTCTTTTGAAGAACATAAAAGGAGTAGCACATAGTATGAGTGGAAAAATTATTGATAAAGAACGCGAACAACCTGTACCTGAGGAACAGCAGAAGCCGAATAAGAACTCCTCCAAATGGATTAAAGTCCGACAGCATGGGAAATCGTGCAAGGAATTCACAGCTTTGCATTTAAGCCAAGAAATCCATGCTCACGAGGGTTCAATATGGACGATAAGATTCAGCTCGGATGCACATTATCTAGCAACAGCAGGAGAAGATACATTGATTCATATATGGGAAGTGCAAGAATGTGAAGTAACCAACGATCTAAACTCTGTTGGTGGTACAATGGGAGGTTCTGCAAGTGCCTCGCCTAATCATCCAACGACTGGCTCATTCAGTGCCTCCCCTGTTCATCCAATTGCTAGGTCTAATTCAGACCGGCCTCCTCTTCCGGAGACTGGACATATTACATCAGAAAGAAGGAAGAAGGGGAAGGTATCACATAAGAAAAAGGGCAACTCAATTCCGGAGTATGTCAACGTACCAGAAACTGTTTTTGCTCTTTCGGAGAAACCAATATGCACTCTTAAAGGTCATCAAGATGATGTGTTGGACTTGTCTTGGTCAAGATCTCAGGTCAGTTTCCTCCACTTTCATTTCAGTTAACTAGCACAAAATCGCGTTGTTTACTGCAAACAAAGCGAATAATATCTACTATATCATGTTTTAAACATACATAACATGGAGTGTGAAACTTGAATGCAGCAACTGCTTTCATCGTCGATAGACAAGACTGTCAGGCTATGGGATGTTGAAACTCAGAGTTGCTTAAAAATGTTCGCGCACAATGACTATGGTGAGATGCAGCTAGTCAATTTAGACTTAAATATGATGATTCCTTCGCGTTATTTGCATCTGATGAGCTTATGGTCTGGCAGTAACTTGCATACAGATCAATCCAATGGACGATGACTACTTCATCAGCGGTTCTCTGGATGCAAAGGTTCGGATTTGGAATATACCTGATCGAAAAGTTGTAGATTGGACTGATCTTCATGAAATGGTCACTGCTACTTGCTTCACCCCTGATGGCCAGGTAGATATGTCTATTTTACTTGTATTATATTCGAACATTCACTAGACTAAAGCTTACGCCAAACACGCGCCATAATACTCCAATTGTACATTAACTCCTGCTATTACATACCCTCCCTGCTATACACAACAACATACTCAGTGTAGTCCCACAGGAAATTTCCCGACTCCTTAGAATTCAAGGATACAGTGGTACGAGCTTATAGAATAGATCCTGTTCAAGTAAGGTTAACAGTATCAATGAATTCTTCGGGTTTTTTTTCGTTCTTGAAGGGTGCTTTAATAGGCTCACATAAAGGAAGCTGTCGTATGTACAATACTTCTGGTATGTAATGCATAACATACCATCTTTTATCAACTTGATAATTACCGCGGAAACAGTAGCTGATTTCCAATGTGTGTTTATTATTCAGAATGCAAACTGGAACAAAAAGACAATATCGAAATTCAACCTAAGAAGAATTCTCAACTCAAGAAGGTCACTGGTTTACAGGTATTTACCCTCTTCTAGAGGTACTGTCTCGATGTACGGTTTCTTTTCTTCAAGATCTATTGAAAGCTGAACATATTTATTTCCAGTTTGCTCCATGGAATCCATCAGAAGTGCTTATAACTTCAGCTGATTCTCGTATCAGAATTTTTGACGGATCAGATATGATCTATAAGTTTAGAGGTATTTTCTCTACTATTTACTCTTTTCGAGAGTTCAAAACAACATCCATGTAACAAAATGTTCTATTTTGTGGTGGCATCAGGTTTCCGAAATACAAGTAGCCAAATTGCAGCTTCGTTTAGTTCAGATGGAAAGTATGTCATAAGTGCTAGTGAAGATTCTCATGTGTACATATGGAAGAGAGAAGAACCTAAGAGCCCCAGGGGAAAAGTTAGAACTTCAATCTCAGTTCAAGCTCACGAGCGATTTCAGTGTAAAGATGTTTCAGTTGCCATACCATGGCTAGGTAGTGTAAAGAATGAGGCACCACTTGTAGAGATGCATTCAAAAAGGCATTCGAAACGTTTCCTCCCACCCCAGTATCCTAACGGAGGTTCTCCAACAAAAGAAAACTCGGATGTGGCAAATAGTAAAAGGCATACGCCACCTCTACCTAACAAAAGTAATACATTGGAGAGAGTTCAAAGTAGTCATGAAGAGGAAGACTTAGCTCAAATCTCTCGTTCAGATTTTGGTAATGGTCACGGAGAATCATTTGCATCAGGTTCTTCATCAAATAGATTTGGTGATTCACCTTCTATATCTGCGTCCAGCAGCTCCCGATCACAATCTTGGTCCTCCTCTTGGTCTCAGGATGGTAGTAATAGCCACGGCAGCAATGTTATACAAGCAACAGCATGGGGGATGGTAATTGTGACAGCAAGTTTGGGAGGTGAAATCAGAATTTATCAAAATTTTGGGCTACCACTGAAAGCTGGACGTCAAACGAATCTCTTTAGAGACCTGACATAAATTGTTTGTTAGGAATCAAATCGATAATATTCTGTTCTCGCCTTCACATTTTTCTGTAATACCTAGTTGTTTAAGACTTAGACGAGCTCACGATAAACTGAACAAGGCAGAAGCCATCGGCTTCCCATTGTTGATAAGTAAATGCAGAAACAGGTAAGTTTTTTTTTCTCTTTTTAGTACCATTTACATTAGAAAAAACCAAGTAGAGATCATAGTGTTCAATCTTCCAACAAATTCAGCATTTTAACTAGCATTGTGCAAACCTTTGTTTTCATTACAAGTGTTACAAATATCGAATACATGAGAAATTTCATTGGCACGGTTTACTTTAAGAACATCTCAAGGGGTGTGATGTAGACAGTCTATCCTAATGCAAGTGGTGCTTCCCATGCACAAACTCTTGACCTGTAGATCACACAGAGATAACTTTACCGTTGCTCCGAAACTCCCTTCCTGAAACAACAATAACTAGAGATGTTCAAAAGCAATGACGTGATATCAAAGGCGAAAAGCACAAACAAACTCTTAAGATCCGTTGTGGCTTTAAGCATAGAGGTCAATGCAGAAATAACGTGAGTGTTTTAACAAAGAAAGACACCACTAGAGAAAAAAATTACAAGTACGACTTGTAATAAGGTCAAAGAAAAACTTATTTAAATTTCGAAATCTGATAAATGTCACGTAAATTGTTAAAGACGAACCGACACGTATAAGCTATTTTAAATTTGAATTCTGGCACTAGGCGGTAAGGTTCCTTGACTCACATTTCCAAATCCGCAAAGTTCAGCACAAACTTCTGGAGAAAGTTTTACATCTCTGAAGAATAAAATGGATTCTCCGATCAATTACGCAATCGACGACAAGGATCTAGACGACGCTGCATTATGGGCGGTGATTGATTCCGCCGCCGCTGCCGCCTCCTCCACCACCGCCGTCACTAAGTACAGCAAACCGCTACCTAACAATCACTCTCCAATTAGGCCTTTTCCTAGCTCAAATCCTTCTCCACAATCTAGGCTCGGAAAAACCCCTAGAAACTTCCAAAATCATCACCATAACGGAGAGGTACTAAATCACCGGCCGCAGAAAATGTCCAGGTCAGATTCTAACTGCGTTTCGGGACTGAGCAAGACGAGTCCGAATCCGATGGCGGTAGTTAAGCATGTGCAGAGAGATCCGTCTGTGACGAGTTATTCGTCGCCGGTGACGAGGTCTCCGGCTCCGGTGATGGAGTATGATCAGAGGTATAACAGTCCGATTGTTTCGGAGTGTTCGCCGGTGGCTACAATGAGTCATGGACAGCGTGAGGATAGAGATGGTGTCATTAGACATAGCTTGGCTGGTCCATTTCCATCCGTTTCTCTGTTCAAGGAGTATCAAAATGCAGCGATGGCGGTAAATTGATCAATTTTAACTTTACTATGTCATATTTCCAGCATTAGATAGTACGTTTATCAATAGTTTAGCCAATTTTTTAGATATAAGTGTATCCAAATTGCTTAAGAGCTGCACAGATAGAGTGTTTTGGCATGATAAATGATGCTGTTCGATCTGAAATTTAATATGAATTTGGTATATTACCTGTTGTTATGCGAGCTCAATTTTTTGATTCACATAAAAATTGACAGTCCATATTAGCCTCTTGCTCAATGTAGATGTCAGTTGTAACTTTGCTTTCTGTTCTTTGAGCTACTTTAGTGCACTTGAAGAGAAAGCTCTCCAAGTTATTGTGTCTACTCGTTTGTAATCCTCATCTTCACCTATTTTGCATTAAGGACGCGAGTAAGATTTATGCTATTCGTAGATTTGTTAGGTTTCGTTCCCATTTTCCCATTATTGCTTTCTTGGTGACAGACTTGTCACTTGTCTAATTTCCTCATTGAACATTATACTTCTTTTGCCATCACAAGAAATGTATCTCTCAATTTTTTAATGGTAGTGGAAGTGCTTCAGCCTCTTAAACAAACTTAGTACTTGGTAGCAATTGAAGGAAAGATGATCAAGAGAAACTATGGATAATTACTAGGAATTGATGAGGAATCAGAATTTTATGCTTAAATTGAATCAGCAAATCATTGTGCGAAAAATCTTTAAATGTCTAGGCAAAACTTGACTATCTCTCAAAATCTGAGCAATGTCTGCACCTTTTCTAGAATAACTTGTTACAAGTCCCCTTCAAGATAAATAGAACTACACTGCCAGTCAGTTTTTGTTAACCTTTATAATCAGCAATTACAGCTGTTGTTTTATCACGAATTCTTTTTGTATACTTGAATGTGATTTCATCAGGGATTAAGTAATTAAACATTTCACAGATTCTGGAGAAAAGTGACTACACTATGATTTCTGGACATCCCTTCATAAAAAAAACTGGTATGTTATTAGACTTTGGTCATTGGTTTCTTCTACTCTCAGTTAAACTGCATGAACGAAATCAACTTTTTGCGCAGGTTGGAGGAAGATATCTTTTTACTTCAATCTATCATATGAAATTAAAGACAAGACCATTGAGTTTGATGACAACCGTAATGTCCTGCGTGCTGAATTTATAGTTCGGGCGCACATGCAGTATGTTCTTTTGGTTCACCAACTATTTCTATCCAAATGTGTTGCTATGCTAGACTTTTTTTCATCTTATTCCTTCTTTCCCTTTCTTTTGTTTCATTGGTAGGGGTGGTAGGTTCTCAGATGGATGGGGATCATGTGAACGGCGGGAGAAGAAGTTTCTAAAACCAAATCATGACATTCCCAGCACAGCAGAAACCAGAGCCAAAAATAAAGCATGCCAGGTACATATATTTCCTTCCATAGGAACCCATAAAAGATAAGTTATTTATCCTCATTTAATTCAATTTATTCGTTCACTCTTGCTCACTGCTTAATTTGTTGGTGGAGTGTATTCATTAATGATTTTAGGCTTAATTGCCAGCCAATGCAGCTTGTACCTTCTTACGTGAAACATTGTTCTTTGTGAGTAGGGTGTGTTGTTTCTTTCATCTAAGGTGCATAGAGCAGTTAGAGTAATAAAACTGCTTTGAGGCTCACTTGTGTTTTTTGGGCCTTCGTGATGCTATCTAGGCCGGATATTGTCATAGCTGTACTTGTATATGCAGATGGATGTACATATATTCTTGCTCTTCAGTGATGCTATCTAGGCTGCTTTTTGTTTTTCCTAGCTTCCTCTTGCCTTTATTAAATATGCAGACGGATGTACATATATTCTTGCTCTTCAGTGATGTATTGCTTTAGGTCACTTGATTTTAATGTGCTAACCCCAGCACTATTTCTAAAGTCAGATTATCTCCTGTCTGGCTCATTTTCTCAGTAGTTCATCCTAACAAATATGAAATTCCTGCAACAACTTTATTCTGTACAAGCATTATTCAAATATCAGGTTAATGTGTCCCACATTAGTGGAGGAAATGAGTTGTTGTCTTCTAATTTTTACCTCTTGAACTAGATTTTGGGTTGAATTAGGCTCAGGGTCCATCCTCAACATGATATAAGAGCCTGGCCCATTCATGTTCTTGTAATCATATTGTCCACACACCATATGTCCAACCTTGGGCGTTGAAGGAGGGGGTTACTATGTGACCCATATTGGTGAAGGAAATGAGTCATTGTCTCCTTGTAAGGTCTTGAGTAATTCTCCCTTCATGAGCTAGTTTTTGGGATTTTGTTAAGCGCAAAATCCATTCATGAATTTGACACTGAAATCCCCATAGGAAGAAGAATATGGTAGTCTTTTATCAGTGTTCTTTTCCACAAATCATACATGCATTTTGCTTATTGAAAATGCATGGTCCGTGGCATATTACTAACCCTGTTCTTGTTCTTGCCAGTCATCTCTATTTGTACTATTCACTTTCTGCTGTTGGACTATTTGTTCCTTTCTATAAAAATCAATTCTCCACTATTGTAAATTAGTTTGTTAAGCAACTCAATTAAAAATTTACAGGACTTGCTTGGAATTGGAGAATATCGACCTGGTATGGACCAGAGTAGTAATGGGTAAAACAATCATACAGTAAGTATTCCATTAGGTACTCTATATCTAAGTCATTTGCAGTTCAATTGACCAAGAGGAGAATTCACAGCCAAAATTGAGATTGGGTTATATTAAAAGTTATGGAATCAAGTATAGAAAGAAGTATGTACAGTACACTCCCAGTGTACTTGTAATATCTGTAGTAGTTTACCTAGTAATTTTGAGCGGAGGATCTATTGGAAACAACTCTCTACCCCACTAAGATAGGGTAAAGTCTGCGTATTTCCTACTCTCTCATACCTCGCTTGTCGGTTTGCACCGGATATGTTGTTGTTTATTCTCTCCTTGACATGATACCTACTTTCAATCATGCTGGCCTGTGTGCAACAATACACCAGGCAGCAGCATGGACTTCCAAATTTTATAGCTATACTTTTCCATGTTTGATTTATATAAAATGACATTTTTATTTGGCATTATATATCATAAATTGACAGTTAGCTTGTCTTCATCAGACCCATATCTTCACCTTTTGACCCAAATTGTCACATTTTTTCTTTAGTGGCAATATGAAAATGGGCAACTGTGGTAGAATAGTTTTTAGATCTGACACACCGACATTTGCTCTTGTTAAATTAGACGTATATTTCGAGTATTGTGTAAATTATATTATTGAGATGGTGACACTCCTATTAATGATCTCCGTTGACATCGCCGTACTTGAAGACTGTGATCTATTTGCCCCATAGTAACTTCTTTTAAATATGACTTTGGGCGTTTGGTCACGAAGTTCTTTTTACTTATTTCTCGGAGTTGAACTCCGACATAAGAATTTAATACCTTAGTTGATTGACTGAACTTTCACCTTGTTTGGTGAGGGTTCGATTCTCTCACTTTATAATCTCCTTTCCTATTTCCTCCTTCCTTTCGGAAAACAAATTAGTGGAATTCAACTTGAAGTTGAATTTTGGGAACTCCAAAACTCACAAAAATTCAAAAACGTCTCTTATTTGTATTTATGGTTCTAATATCATTTTTCACTTTGAAAACAAAAGTACTTTCTTCAAATACTCACTATTTTCATAGTGAAATGCCCTCAAAATGTCTATTGAAGAAGTGCAGATCATAGATTTTTCTGCACGAGATGTTTACCTCAAATTAATAATACTTGATATGAATATGTGGATAAATTGTCATCTTGTTAAAAATAAAATTAGAATATTTTGATATAAATAGCGGGTGCGGATAATTTTTCAATCGATTGCCGGATTGCGTATATCTTGGCATTGTAAGAGTTAATTCTTTACATCTTTTTAACTTTTGCATTTTCTAATTAAGTATTTTGTTCTATAATATATGGGCTAAGCTTTTAATGTAGAATACTTTTGATAAGCTATCTTTTTTTGGTTTCTTTTGAAACTCTTCGAAACTTTTCATGATTGACAACTATTTTCTTGGATGATTTACTTTGAACTAATACTATGTAAAAATTCTATTAAATTCTCACTTTAGTAACTGTGTCAACTTTGACCATGTGAGTTTAGAAAATCATAATTAGTCTTAAATTGGGATAAAAAGGACAAATAACAATACCTTGACAGCAAATGTAAAAACTTTTTAATTATGAATTATGATGAGCGTATATCTTTTACTAACGACTGATGGGGTTCAACCAAAAAGTTTTGCAACTATGTATGGTTTATCATATAAATAAAAGCAATCAAGGTGTGATCTAATAATTAATGAAATTGACCCAAATAATGAAGATTAGAGTTTAAATAAGATGATTTTTTTCTATATATTTTAAGTTTTAGCAGATAAAATGAATCAACAATTATGGTAGGAAGGAGATAATAAGCACTTGATGAGAGAATCCAAACTCGTAACATAAAAACCTACATCCACCCATGTTAATGAAATACTTGAGGTGCACTAAAAAATCACAAATGATAGATATTTGGAAGGGGGAAAAATTGAGTTACACCTAAGGTAATCCGTTATAAAAAAAAAATTAAAAATTAAGGGGTAACTACATTGTACTAACCATGGCCCTCATACCCAAGAGATAAGAGTTATAGACCAAGCTCTTCTTTTATTCTTTTTCTTTCCGGTAGGGGTGTACAAAACCGAACCAAATCGTAAATCGAGTCAAATCAAGAAAAAAAACCCGACTAATGATTCATTTGACTTGGTTTGGTATTGGAAAAAAAAATCGACTATATTTGGGTTGGTTTGGTTTTAACTAAAAAAAACCAACCCGAGACCAAACCAACACGACATTATATACATAATTTTAAAATTTTATTTTATACGTAAAAATATTTACTTTGATATAATTTTTAAATATTTCTTATACTTTTTCATAGTTTTTATCTTTTAATATATTATTTCAAGTTTGAAACTTAGAATTCTGAATGGTTCAATAAAGATTATAGACAACAGATGTTGATAATTATAATAAAGCTTAAATCAAAATCAAATTAATACTAATGCAAAAAGAAAATCAATTCAACACTAAGAATGACAATAATATTGAATATTTGTTCTTTGGTTTTATATTGGTTTAGACAATTCAAATACATAATCTAATTTTAATTTCCTTTAATATTTAGTCATGTAACTAATACTTCTTAAACTTATTTTAGCATGATTTAGTACTTTTAAATTATGATCATTTTCATTATGACTTGTTAATTTGCAATATTTGTTTTACGCGATTTCATTATTATTATTTTTTTTGTTGGATATTTTAGTGTCATTACTCATATCATATTTTGTGTTATTTTCTTAAGAAACATCTTAGATAGTTGTATTTTAATAGGACCAAAGAAATATTTGAAGTACAAGTAAATCATATGTTTGTATGAATACTTTACCGAAAAAACCCAAAAAAATTCGAGGTTGAAAAACTCGAGTTTTATTGGTTTGGTTTGGTTTATAGATTTAAAAATCCGACACAAATGGTTTGGTTTGATATTTGAAAAACTCAAACCAACCCGGTCATGTACACCCCTACTTTCCGGTGTCCGAAACTTGCATTGGAGTCTTAACTTAATTTGAATCGCACACATTTGACGATAACGCTCCCCACAAGATTTTTCTTCATATCCAAGACTTGAACTTAGGATTTCTAATTAAGGGCGGTGCAATCCCACCAACCAAACTTACTTTTCTTTGGAAGATGCTATTATTATTAGTTCTCAGTGCCACCACATTCTTGTATAAATACTTTTCTTTTCTATCTTTTGTTGCTCAGAGAAAGAAAGGATATAAACTAAACTTATGAAGTTGACAATTAATTCTTTTTCACTCTCATTATCCCCCCTAATTTTTAGTTAATCTTTAAATCCATCGATCAATCAATCTCTCTTCAAATCAACAATCAAGGAAATCCATGGCTCAACAGGTATACTCCTTTGTCCTTAATTTTTTTTCTTCAATTTTTGTTCCATTACATGAGGGGGAAAAGAGAGAATGAGAAGGAAACTAATATCGTGAGAATCGAACTGACACCTATTATATAATGATTCTCATCGAGACTACTTGACTGTAAGTTCGTAATAGTCACTCCTCTTTTGTCCTTGATCTTTTCCTATTACATTAGGAGGGAAAAGAGGGCAATGAGAATCGAACTAGCATCTACTGTACAATGATTCTCATTAATACTACTAGACTGTAAGTTCGTAATAGTCACTCTTTTGTCCTTGATCTTTTCCTATTACATTAGGAGGGAAAACAGGGCAATGAGAATCGAACTAGCATCTACTGTACAATGATTCTCATTAATACTACTAGACTGTAAGTTCGTAATAGTCACTCCTTCTTTTGTCCTTGATCTTTTCCTATTACATTAGGAGGGAAAAGAGGGAATGAGAATCGAACTTACATCTATTGTATAATGATTCTCATGAAATACTACTAGACGTAAACCGACATTATGAGAATCGAACTAACCTAGTATATAAATGACTTTTACTAATACTACTAGACTATAAGTCGATCTTCTTTTTCCCCTCACTAACATCAAAATGAAATTTCTTTAACATATTTCTTTTTAGTGAATTTTGGAAGGTTTTTTTTTATTGATTTTAAATTTGGATGATATGATATTGCAGGATGAAGGTTGGCCACTTGGGCTTCAACCATTAAATGTGAGAAATCATGGATTTAATGGATCAATTTCATTCAATACTTTGATTACTGTTTCTCCCTCTTCTTCCTCTCATTCTTCTTCTGATCTTGATACTGAGGTTTGTACACTTTTTTTTTCTTAAAGAATATTCTTTATATCCAAAATTAGAAATAACTAAAAATGAACAAATATTGGCCTTAAAAACACTCTAATTGGTTGAGAATACATCAATAAGTTATCAAAGTGATATGTGAAAGTTGTCTTTCCTTTTAGATTTAATCATGTGATATCTGAAATTTATTATGCCAAAACACTTTATATTAGTATTTTGGTTTTATTTTTTACTCGAATTTAACATTTTTAATTAAATGCGAAGGAATCTAATTATATTTTATGACACCCATTTATGGTGTTATTTATTTTTTAATAAAAGTATGCATGATTTTTTATTTTTTTTCATGTTATATTCACAATGGGGTCAATGTCTTATCAAAAAGTGGAAGGGGAGATATAGCACTTTTCTCTTTACACATGGCCTTACAATTATTATGTTTCTCAAGTCTTTCAGAGAGAAAAAAGAGTAATATTTTACACAAAATATCCTCTTTCTTTTTTCTCTATATATATTAGGGCTCGTTTGGTGTGAGGGATTAGAAATAATAGTGATGGGATAAAAAAAAATTATGTTGTTTGGTTGGCAAGTCCGGGATAACTTATCTCGGGATTAATAATTAGTACCGGGATAAGTTATCCCTCCCCATGGGTGGTATAGTAATCCCGGGATAACGTATCCCGAGATAAAATAGGTAAATGACAAAAATGTCCCTTTAAATCTTTTTTATACATCATTTTTTACATTTATGTATATTTACATTTTTTTAATACCATGTATAATAATATTTACTACTCCTTATTTTTATGATAATTATACATATTTTTTCTATTAAAAAAATTATACTATATTAAATATAATTTTTTATTTATGAATTTATTTGACTAATTCTTATGTTTTTTATTTTGATTTCTCATAAATTTTCTTCTCTTTAATAAACTTAAGAGGGAAGTTCTATTTTTAAGCTAAATAAGAAAAAAGTTATATTTTTAAATACACATGGTACTTATCATGGGAATACATAAACAAAAATATTTAAGTTAAATAAAATAAAAGTTTTATTTTAAAAAATGAATAACTAAAGCTCACAAAGAAATATTTAAAAAGTTTAAATAAAGTGAAGGGTAATTTTGTAAATAAACAACTTGTTCTTAAAATTTATCAATATATATTATTGTGAATATAACAAACCAAACACTCAATAAGAAATAATCTCAGGACAACTTATCCCATCATAACTAATCCCAACATAACTTATCCCAACATAACTTATCCCATCATAACTCATATTCAAACCAAACGACCCTTAGAGTATAATATGTTGACAATATGTTAAATAAGTCAGTAAATTTTACTTAAATATTCAAATAATAATCCATTTCAATTAAATATTTAAACTCAATGAAATATTTTTATTAAACACTTTGGATTTATATTTTAGAAAAGTTTATGCATGTGTTCTCTAACGTAGATATGCATTTTTCTTTAGTTATACATATCAATTAGAATAGGCCTGAGATTCTACAGATTATTGAGGCTAATATGAATAATTACAAGAAACTAAGTGATATATTTTAAGTGGTTAACTCTTTTATATAATGACTGATTGAGAGCACATGCAAAAAAAAATTCCAAAATTTTGAATAAAAATATTTTATCATATATTCAGATATTCAATAAAAACATACCATGATTCAAGTACCTAAATAAACTTTACTGATAAATTTAAAGGGCGGTCAATATATTCAACCTCTCTCTTTTATGATTTTTCTTTTAGTGATATATTTTTTTTATATACGTAAGAGATCTGAAAAAGTCATTTTCTTATTCGTTGGTTGCAGTCTACTACTACTACATTCTTTCATGACAAAAGCATAACTCTAGGAAGCCTCATTGGAATTACAAATATTCTAGAGTTTTCAAGAAGATCAACAAGAAGAAGAACAATTGTGGAAACCAAAATAAGGGACAAGAACAACAAGAAGAATATTAATATTAATATTAACAAATCAAGAACTTGGTTATTTTCACTTTGCTCAAAATTAACTACTGATGCAGTTAACATTAACAACACTAATCCTGCTCCATCTTTAGGCCATTTTCTTGAAGAAGAGAGAAAAGCAGCTGCTAATAATAATAATAATAATTATGGACTTGATGATTTTAATCAATTATTAGATCATGATCATTCAAATGTGAACAATAATTCATTGTTCATTAGTGGCCAAATTGCTCCTCCTCATGATAATGATGATGAGTCAAAAAAAGGGCTATTTGAGCAAAATGGTCATCATGGAAGTCCTTTGATTTTCTCATGTTTATGTGGACATTTAGTTCATTGATATTTTTAATTGTTGTGTAATTTTATTATTAACATATTTTAATTGTCTTCTTGGGATGGAAAATTAAATTTGGCTTAATTGTGGGTTTGGAGGGGGGGGGGGGGGGGTGGGAATCTTGATCTTCGAGCAT